GGTTGGCCTGGATAAGTCTCCGGGATTAGATGGTCTTCCCTACGAAGTTTACTTGAGGTTGTCGCACGTTTTTGTTCCTTTGCTGGGACTGATGTACAACCACTGGATGAGGCAGGGGTCTTTACCTCAACTCTTCACCAGGGGTGTCATCAAGTTGCTGCGTAAGGACAAAGACGGTGGGGATGGGTTAGGGAACTTTCGCCCTTTAACGATGTTAAACACTGACTTAAAGATTTTGGCGAAGATCTTAGCAAACCGTTTGCAGCTTGTCCTGTCTAGTCTGATTGGCTCTGAACAGACTTGTGCTGTGAAGGGCAGGACTATTCAGGATAACCTTCATATGGTGCGCCTGATCTTAGAACAAGTCGACAGTGAAGCCGCGCTGATCAATTTAGATCAGTCCAAGGCCTTCGATAGGGTTGACCATCGATTTCTGGAGGCTGTCCTTTCAGCGGCCGGTTTCGGAGCCGACTTTCGCTCCTGGATCCGACTCTTGTATGCGACCCCCGGTGCGCTGGTGGAAGTGAATGGGGTAAGATCGAAGCCTTTCGTATTGTCTCGCTCCATTCGTCAAGGTTGTCCGCTATCGCCTCTGCTTTACGTTCTTGCGTTGGAGCCTTTCCTTCGCAAGTTAAAGGCGAATCCGGTCCTACGCGGTATTTCGCTGCCTGGTGCTAACACCTCGGCCAGGTATTCTGCCTATGCTGACGACGTTTCGGTTCTTGTGTCGAGCAGAGCCGAGATTAACGAAGTCAGTAAGCAGATCAGTGGGTATGAGATGGTGACAGGGGCCAAAATCAACCGCGATAAGTCTGTGGGCTTGCGGTTGGGTGCGTGGAAGGGAGTTTCTCTTCCCGGACCTTTCCTCTGGACGGATGGGCCGATCAAGATACTCGGCGTCTGGTTCGGTCCTGATCTCCAGTTGGAAAAGAATTGGTCGGAGGTACAGGGGCGGGCCGAGGCCGCGGCTAGTCTGTGGTCTCGGAGGGACTTTCCCTGAAGGGAAGGGCGGAAGTTTGTGGTTCTCACATCTATCCGATCCTCCTCTACCGTCTTTCTGTGCTTCCACTCCCGTATGCCCGACTAATGTCATTAGTCAAGGCCTTGTTCTCTTTCTTGTGGAGAGGCAAGGCCCATATGGCATCTCGCGAGATCTGCTGCCTTCATCCCTCTGAGGGCGGTCTGGGGATGCCTAGCATTGAGATTCGTCAATATATGCTACGCATTACCTTTCTAGACCGAATGTGTCGCGGTTTGGATGAGGTGGGCACCTTTTGGAAAGAAGATGTCCGTAAACATTTCCCATCCCTGAGAAGTGTGCACTCGTGCAAGGAGGAGGCCGGTCGTACTCCTCGTGGCGAGTGCTCCTTCTATCGTGAATGTCGTCGTGCTTTGAAGCTTCTCTTGCGGACGTCGGATGGCCTCTCCGACGCCCAAGCGTTGTCTCGTAAGGCATTATATCGATTGTTAGTTAGGGGTTCCGTTCGAGATACTCTGATCGACGAGCTCGGTCTTACGAAGCAGGAGGCTCGCTCGATATGGCCTTGGGCGCCTGGGTTGAAATGTCTCAATAACGATGAGGCATCACTCACCTGGCTGATGATTCGTGGGGCCCTCTGGGTCGGCAAAAGACTTTGTTCAGCAGGCTTGGAGAAATATCCAAACTGTCGTCGCTGTACTGGGAATGTCGAGACCATTGGTTACGCCTTTTTTCAGTGCAGTGCGGTAGTGCCGTTGTGCAAGTTTGTTGAAGGCCTCATGGTTCGCATGCTGCAGGGAAAGTTTTTTGTCCTGGAAGCTAGTTCTGTTTGTAGCAATGTGGTGTCGCAATTGACGAAGGCTGAACACTATGTGTTCTGTTGCTTACTAGGGGTTATGCGAGTCGTGATTTGGACGACGCGACAGAAGGGATTCTATGAAGGCGAGAAGTTCACCTCTTCCCAACTGATCTTGTACTTTAGGCATCAGCTTAAAGTCAAGATTAGGACGGAAAGGCGGCGGCTCCCATCATCAGAATTCGGCAAAAGGTGGGTGAATCTTGCGCGAATGTGTAGAGTGAAAGGGGCTGACCTAGAGTGGCACTTGGATGTCGGTTAGGTACAGAATTTTGTCCTAACAGGGTTGAACATAGGCAACCCACCCAGATATTAGGCTAGACTAGGTTGTCATTTTTGAACTTTTAGTTTCTTTTTTTTCCCGGTTAACTTAGCTAGGGTATGTGAGCTCATTAGCCCCTTTTATTTCTGTCCCTAATTTTTTTACTTTTGTTTAATTCCCCATCCCCTCCCTCGTTAGGTGGTTAGTGATGTCAGTTTTCTGGTGGATGCGGGGCGCCTTTCGTTTCGTGTGTGTGTTTTTTCGTATTTGTTGTTGTGTATGAATGAGTGAGTGTTTGTGTGAATGCTTGATGGTTTGAATGTGTACTTATTTTATTAGTCCCATCGATTTCGTCCAGTTAACTGATTTTTCTGCCACATTCATAGTTTGTGGGGGGTTTTATTACTAACTCAGTTTTGTTTAGTTTATTGTACATAATTAATGCACGTTGTAAATATTCATTTGGGGATTTTTTTTTAAAAGTTGTTATTTAATGACCCTCCCCCCATGAACAATATATGTAAATAAGGGAACTAATTAGGACTTCATAGAGAATCCGAGGTATTATGGTGGACGTAGTAAGAAAGGTAGGAGTGATTGTGTTGTTTTGGTGAATGGATTATTGTTGGCATGTTTGGGTCAGTGTCTGCGACTAGCTAAGTTTAGATTAAAGACAGAAGAAGACCGTCATTCCCCATCCCCACTTTTCGGCCTTGTGCCACATTTGTTTGTATTTTTTACAAAACAATAAATATTGTGATATAGTAAGCTCCGCTTACACTATCTCTGTAACCTGTTGTTAATATATCTTTTTTACTTCTAATCCGTGTTCTGTGTTTTACTTCTTTGGTCCCAACTTTGGCCCCACATCAATAATTATAATATTTATCAGCCATTTTTTATGCCTTTTTAAGTAAACCAATTCCCAGAAAACTTTGATAAACACTTTATCTTCGTCTGCTATTGTGTGTTATTTATGATAAGGTTATCCTATGAGAAGTAGTAATTTCTTGTATATAAGTATTTACTAAGCTGGGCTTAGTCTAACACAGGACTATAGTTGGGAACGCTGTTGAGATCTAACTCACCACACCAGTCCTCGAGATGTGCTTGCTATCGAACCACAGTCGGCAGCTCAGTCATTTCTTGAATTTATATCGTTTTATTTGATGTTAATAATGGCTTCTTGTGCGGATGCTGATAAAATCAGAATGTTCAAAGCGCGAAATTTTTTTGCTATCAGCACATATATGAGAAACTAAATAAGCAAGTCCTTGATATGCGACTATAAAGCTTCGTTCATAGCATTTGCAATGGGGTACACGTTATTTGTTCAATGTTAAAAAGGTCTCGGGCATCTGTTGATGTAATATCACTTTAGAACGACCATATAAGCCTCATGCTTTTCATGAATCGAATTTCCAGACAGTTTACGTTTAAATATGATAATCAAATTTGGTTCTCTGTGAATTTTCCAAATTGTCTTATATAATTACCATATATACACCTATTTTTACTCTTTTATATATGCACAGAAGTGTTAATTGATTATTAATAAACATGCACGCATGCACGCACACAAACATGTATTTAGGTAATTCTCTATAAATAAATAATTATGATTCTCTAATGCAACTATCAATAGATAGATTGATAGATACGTTTATTCCTCAAGTTAACACATATTGTATATTATCTAAAAATGCGCATAGCAAGATATAAAATGGTAGTTACAAAGAACTTGTTCATAACAAGATAAATCTTAGCTTATTTGGTTAACCCTTAATTTCTAAGTGGTCAGGGCTTTGATTTCATCACTATGGATTTATTACTTACTTCAGTACTCATAAACATATTTTGCCTTAGATTTCTTGGGAAATGTCCTCATAATGCATACAAACTTAGTTTTAGAATTGGTTAAATAAGCAAATTCGAAAAGCTAATGCATTCATTAAATGATACAAATACTTTTGTTCTTTATTATAATTATTCTAATGTATGGAGTTTAACAAATACTTTTTAATATTTTTATATTATATTTTTTTTATCAGCTAGGTCTAATCTCAAAAATATAATCAAAAATAATCGATAAACTACTAATCACAACCTGTGCTAATCTTTGGAAGGATTCGTCAGATACTATCAAACGGTTCGACAATATGAGTAATAAGGAGAGAGCGACATTTATTAAGTTTGATATAATAGATTTTTATTCCTCTATCTCCAGAGATATCTTAGTTAATAGAACTAACTTTGCAAAAGACTATATGGAAATAACGGATGATGAAACTAATATCATCTTAAGTGCTAGGAAATCACTGTTAATACTTAATAATTCCACCTGGACTAAGTGCCTTAATGACGATTTTGATGTCCCTATGGGAGCATATGATTCAGTCCAGGTTGCTGATTTAGTATGTTTTTACATTTTACATATACTTTATAGAATCGTAGATCCAGAACTAGTGGGCCTATATAGAGATGATGGACTCTTCTTCATCCCCAGTAATTTATGGTCAGTACTAAAGAAGAAAAACGCCTTCAAATCAATTTTTCAAAAGATATCTGGTTATACCGAAGAAGACTTATATTTAGTATAATAAATAAAACCTTAGTAGTGCCTAACTTGTTTCATTAAAAATAACACTTTTCGGATGAGAAATAAAAATTTTTGAGGGTGGCCAAATATTTTTGACTGGTAGTGTATTTGTATGTATGTATATAGAAATAGAGATAGATAGATAGATAGATAGATAGATAGATATGTGCGTGTGTGTGTGTTTAAGAGAGAATGTGTGTATCTGCGTTGTGTGTGTGTGTGTTACGTACGTGCTTTTCGTAATTTAGACAGTTTTAATTTGCTGCATTAAATGTTAACCTATATTTGTTTTGCTTTTCTGCAGCAATGAAGACAAAGTCAGGTTACAGTATCTTGAATAGTCACTGGCGTCTGTCCCATTATGGCCACAAATATGTCCTTGGAACAGTTATGGATTATCAACGCCGAACGAACATTTCGTGCCCTGCGCAGTGTGTTTTCATTGTTGGACCAATCAATGATGATATACATGTACAGGTAATATTTTTCCATCTAAATTAAAATACAGCAGTAATTATTTTACAATAAAAATATTAAAAGAAAAGTATATCAAGTAGATCAAAAATTGCCAAATGGCAAAACAAGAAAAAAGAAAGCGATTATATTTTACTTGAAGAAAAGGACAAAGATTGGATTTAATTCAAACTGAAAAATATAAATTTATTTTTTAAAAAACGTTAAGAAATACAACTGACAGTTGTAAGCATTGACGATATGAAATTACTATATAAAAAGATAGGTGTATATTCATTTACGGACAATACGCTATGACATTTTCTTGTTATTCCTTGTGAGTATAATACTGTTTGCGGCAGAGGGATTGTTCTTGATCGACACTCAATGAAATATTATGCATTGTGATATAATTTTATCTATCATTGATATTGCAAGTCTTTTATCTTAAATTTTAACATAATTTTGCTTTTCTTAAAATGATTACTTAAATATTCCATCAATGTATATCAGATATTTTAATATCATTTAATCAATGAGTTAGAAAAATGATTTAAAAATGTAGAATAAAGACAAGAAGAAAATGATTGACTGATATTGTAAAATGTTATCTATTTTATCTACATGCTAATTAGTAAATCAACATATACTTTAAATTAATGCCTAGTTTGCTAGCGTCTATCTCTGACTCGTTTATGAGTTGTGAACGGTAATCAGAAAAACCCGTTTGATCTTGAAAACAAATGTATTACAAGGCAACATAGTCATTAAATAACAAAAGAATTTACTAGAAAGATTTTTTCGCAATAACTTACCTTTTGTTTATAATTTCTATTATTTTTCAGTGTCACTGAAGTTTGTGTGCAGGTTTCATGTAATATATAATCGACTTCAGTGCTCGAATACAACATTATAACACAGAAACCATCATTCGTTTGACAACAGATGTAAAAGATAGGCTTATTAGGTTCAACTGCAGTTTTCCATCTGAGTTCATTCTCGTTGGTTGTTGGCTTTACAAATATTAAATATACTCGTTCACTATGTATCCCAAGAGATGATATTTCTTCAAAATAAACAACGTTCAGGTGACTGGATTTAGAGTAGTGATTAATTGTGTATATGTAGCCCTACACAGTCAACATCTCCGAGACACAAACACAAGGTAGATTTATAATGACTAATTGAAGTTAACAGCTCGACCAAAATCCAGTGCAAGAGAATCTCATCTTGCACTTCACGACGCGTATGATAGTAGGGTAGGGATTTTTGAATTCATAGCTATTCTTTTCTTAGACTGATTACCAACCGAAGCTAAATCGCCTCGTGTAATCTGTTGTTTTATTCATGGAGAGAAAAGAAGTATATCATGTTTTCCCATTTAACACAAAATGAACACTCTCGTCCATAATTTGATCTTGACTCACACCTCTTTCTTCGCTCGGAGACTTACGCTACTTAAACATTCAAATATTGAGTCAAAGGATATATCATACCTACCAATAAGGCAACAAGAGAGTGATTCTTTTGAAACTGAGAAAAATTTGTGGAAGACAAAAATGGAACAATTTTTAAGATTTGATTTAGCAGGCATTTAGAATTGTACTGTCAATATATATCTATGTATCAAAATGTAAATACTAAAAAAAAGTAAACACTCGTGGCCGTTTTTAATTAGCCAATGTCAAAGTTTGTACCTGGGTGTTTCTAGGCTTTCCAATGATACGGTTTTAGAATTGGTTGTCTTGACTTAATTGATTAATGATATATTCTAAATATTTACAGTTAACTCTCTTTAGAATCAAATCAAACATCAATTTCTAATGTAGTCTTGATCGTTAATATGCTCAAACTTTCAAAATATTTCAGCTATATTTACTGATTTTTACACTCTAACAGCCACACTTTCCTTTTCTTCTCTTCCAGTTATTATTTTACAGAGATTCATCCCGTTTCACGTATCAATTCAGTACTCCATTAGATATGAATGGTGGCCAAAATTACGTCTACGATATTATCGGTGAACCGTCTGGCAAAACTCACCACCATCGGCCTCATCACCAATCTAATGACAACCAAAAACATCATCATCGCAGGCCTCACGATAGACAGCATTCCCACGATCAGTCAAGTTCAGCTGCAGTACCTCACCGCAATAGTCACATGAGACAAAGTTCAAAGAAACGAAGGTTTCAATATAATGAAAGTTTCATGACACCACATCGCAGTGAGCATCACCAAAGCGATTCCGAACCAACTCACGCCTCACCTCGGCGCACGCAAGCTACTAGAAACGTGAGAAAAAGTTACATTTCCCCAACCATCAGAAGCATGCAAAGAAATACTCCGTCTTTTGACCGGAAAAATCAACGTCGAAACAATCGTCATAAGAATCGAAACAATTACGGAAATGGGAATCACTACCAACCAAGTGCCACATCACTTTACTACAGATCGCACCGGATTCCAAACCGAAGAATCTCATCCGAATGGCCGACTTCATCGACAGAACAAAGCCAGCCAGTTAGACATGGTTCATCTGTCATTCTTGGAGAGCCATCGCCAACCATTATTATTGCCAACTCTCGTTTCTCTTCCGATAGAATTAAAGAAAGGCAGCAACCGATTCGAGTAGAAAACGGAAATCGACATCTGCAACCCGACCGAGACACATCGCAGCTATCACTTGGTTCGAATTCGTTGAAGCCAACTGGACAAAGAATTTACCAACATACCGGTGCTCAGTTGCCAGAACTGGATAGTAGCAAATCCGGCAGCAGTATCGCCGGTGCAAACACGGGTTATTCATGGAGGATATCTGGATTCACTGAATGCTCTGAAACTTGTGGCGGAGGTAAGAGCTCTTAGAATTGATTGTCTTGAACTTATTTTGCACAATGTACTAAAATCGTGACTGACTAAATAAGAATAGTGTCTTTTGCGTTATTAACTAATTATATGTTGTTAATCCAAAGATGCACATCGACACAAGAAAGAGAAATAAAGGGAATCATGCGTGTTTCAAGTGATATATGAAATGATACCAGAATTTGTAAACTGCTTATTTCGTCCTCAAATTTCTTTCCACGTTTTTGTCGCTTTTTACAGTGGAATGAGGAATGACACTTGATTTATTAACATTTTAACCGGTTCATGAATTAATATTTATTTTTTGTATTTCTGAAACCCAGAGATAAATTTATTACAGTTCTGAAACCGATTGATGTTATCGCGTATCTTGCCTGATTTTCTGCGAACATCTTTCAAATTTCACTTTAATATTCTAAATACCTGATTATAAAATGACTGATATGAAAATCTATGAGAAAATAAATGAGAAATATAAATATAGAAATACATTAAAAATCTATGATAGTTTTAGTTCTGATTCTTTATAAAATGATTATTCTGACATTTTGTTATTATTTTAAATAACAATTTTAAACTATGTAAATATATCAATGATATAAATTGTATAAATACTTGCATGTTAAACATGCTGTCTATAATACTATCACCAAATCTAAGTTTTATTTTTAGGCTAAAAGGCATTTGATCCGATTTTATTTATTTGAGTAATTTTATCAAATTTATTGCTTCAATGGAAAACTATTTGTTTTACAATGCGAAGGCAACAATCCCTTGGATCAACTTGTTTATGAAACACCTCAAACAGCCATATTGACTCAAATTTGATTTTAGCTTCTAGTTACATTAGAAATATCAAGTTTCAATTCACCGAATTCATGACATATTTAGCGTTATGTTTTGCCTTTTTACTCTAGTTAATTGAAAAAAAGCAACTTGCCCCTTTTTCTTTAAATATTTGTTTCGTTACAATTTTCAAAGTAAAATTTAAAGCATTAACTTCTCTGTTTCATTTTATTAAAAACATTATATATTCTCTCTCACATATACACACATTCGCCATTTTTGTTTAAAAGAAAGAAAGAAAGAAAGAAAAGATAAGATGGTTAGAGTTAGAAAAATTTAGTTTCAACTACGCTGTTACTTGCTTGTTTTAAACAGGGATTCTGATGCAATACTTTTTATGCTATTATTACACATGGTTTTTGTGAAAGGCAGTCAACCTCATTAAACAGCTATATGCAGAAAATATTGATATGAGTTAGATTTCATTTTTTATCCCAGGCATTGAGGAAACGATTGTCGTCTGTGTAAAGGAAAATTCGCAAGTTGTTGTTACTGATGAGAACTGTGAACATACCCGGAAACCAGGTCCCAAAACCGTGAGCTGCAACCTGACTCCATGTCCGGCAGAGTAAGGTTTTATTTAATTTTCTACATTTGCACTCGACTCATCAGGAGTATCTTTGTCTAATTTTTCCCCTAGAACAAAGTCTCTACTGAGTGATATGTATATAACTTTGTCCATTGTTTCAGTTCTCATTTCTAAAGTAGATCCCCACAAGGGTTGCGAATTCAATGCAATTGTCCTAAAATGATTCCTGTTCTGTAATTATTCCTGTTATTGAACTGATTTTGTTCTTTTCAAATTTTGTAATAAATGCCTCTTGCTTTCCAGTTGTTGGAAATCATCCTCTGTAGTTTTGTCTTTAAGAACTCTGGAGAACCTTCTCGTCTCTCGAATTATCGCCCTATTACATTTTTACCTAATTTGCCAAAATATTAGAGGCTCTAATTAACGCTGAATTGGTTAAGCATCTCACTTCAAAAAGCTTCCTTTCGGATAAACAAAATGGTTTCCCTTTCTCCAGGTTTACTGCCGATCTGTTAACGGCTATCACTGAATTTCTCTATCAAACTTTGGGTTAGGACGGCCAAAATCGAGCTGTCGCTCTAGATATCCCGAAGGGGCTCGACAGTGTTTGACATATTGGCCATCGCCACATGCTCAAGGGCTACGATGAAGTAAAAGCGGCAATTGGTCGAGAAAAGGTCCTCCAATCAGTGATTAACTGGGGCAAGGAATGTTTTGTAAATTTTAATACCTCCAAAAAAAAATGCTTTCATTTAATCACTATAGAGACCCTTTTCTAGCTGCCTTCAGTATAACTGATGCTAAACTCTCCAGGTGAGCAAGTTATTGTGCCTTCTTAGGCTCATGTTTTCCACTGACATCAAGTAGAGTGATTATATTGAATCAATTGCTAGGCCTTGTGCCAGGAAAATAAGTTTTCTTGGCAGAAAATATCTCTCGTCAGAATTGATCTTGCCCATTTATAAATCTATCATTCGTTTGTGCATTGAATATTGGTCTGGTGCTGTTACTATATATCTCGAGATTCTTGAAAAAAAATTCAAAGGTCTGTAATGTAATTGATTGTTACCTGATATCTCGACTTCAATCACTTTCTCACCGACACACCTTGGTTCCCTTCTGTCTTTTGTTCCTGGCAATTGTTCAGATTAGCTTTTTTCCTTAGTGCTTCGACTGCATGAATTTATGCGTGCTACTAGATTTGCAACTAAGTGTCACCGTTTTAGTGCTAACCTTGGTAGATGCAATCGTATATTCTATTCTAATAGTTTCTTTTCTCGCAATTCTAATATGTAGAATTCACTTCCGATTACTTGTTTCTCTGCTACCAAAAAAGTTTAAATGTAATGTCAATCACGATCTTTCTATCTGTCTTTCTGAATCCTCTTCTTTTATTGTCCTTTCTCTTCACTCCTTATTCTATTTCACTCCCCATAACACTTAGCGTCCTAGTAGCATTCTCGCCTTATTTTGGATAAATTGATCAAAAAGAAAAAAATACTGTTATACAACCTATAGTGAAATCGTAATGAATCTTTGTCGTAGCATGTTTTCAACTTTTGTTATATTTAAACAAGTAATTCAAGTATCTTTATTTTCTATATGATTATCCGATACTGTTGTATATTTTTATCTATTAAAACTTCTTATTACCGTTTGCACAAGTTCCTTTATATACGTTGATTTGATGTTCCAGTAAGCAGACGACAATGCCACCTCTACCTCCTCCGCAGTTCACCTCCGAAGCCTAATATTGCTTTGGATGGAAGTGAATGCGAACAAAATAAAGATACTTGCGCAATCCATTCCTGGACAAGAAATACCAGAAATTACTGTTTACATAGGGGACTTGCTGCTGGAAGTTGTCAATGATTTTCATTACTCCGGGAGCACTCTCTCACAATTCAGATCATTCGAAAGAAACATTAAACATCGCATCAAATCCATTTATTGGGCCTTTGGAAGACCCAGAAAGCACGTATTCAACAACCACGAATTCTCGCTACGAACAAAATCATGGTGTTCCGCACTGTTCGCATCTCCACATTGCTTGCGAGACATGGACCCTGTATCGAGAAGACCTGAAAAAGCTTGAACTTTTCCAACAAGCCAAGCTCCTGTAGATCCTCAGCATCAAAGACAGGATCGACGCACTAACAACGAAATCCTCAATCGCTCGGAAATGCCGTCATTGAAGCCGCCATCCTCAAGCATTGCCTAAGGGAGTCAGGACATGTCACCAGAAAAACCTCTTCAAGACTTCCGCGGACCATCCCTTATCGTGAGCTCGTCAACGGCAAAGAACATCACGGAACTCCAAAAAGTAGATCCAAAGATCAACTGAAGTTTTCCCTCTTTAAATCCGAAATCAGCCCTAACATCTGGGAACCAGAAGCCGCCGATTCTTCATCCTGACGAAGAGTAATTCATTTCAGTTGTTCCACGTTCAAAGAGAGGAGAAAGACTGAAGAGGAAGTAAGAAGAAAGCAACCACAAGACCGACAAGACTACAGCCAAGACTATCACCCGCACTACTATGCGATCAATTCCCTACTTGGCCTCCAGAGCCATATCGGGTTCAGGCATCGTAGAGGCACCGGATGAACCAAACTCAGACTTGAGTGGTGCCGACAATTTAGAAGAATAGAAGAAATCATTATAGTTTATATGTGGTCTGGAATAGAGGGATCAGTTATAAAGCGGAAATAGCTAATAATTCAGTACAATAGATTCTTCCACAACTTCGATTTCAATAGATGCTTACTTAGCGTGACCCACGGTCAAACTTATATGCCATGCTTAGCGTGGAAAAATTCATCTGCGAGACTAACTTGTTATTCGATCCTAGTCTATAACTAGTTGGAGAATAAATATTCAAAAGTAAACAGAACGGACAGGATTATAAAGGCAGAATAAAAAACTCCAAAATGAGAAGACTAAAAAAGAAAGAAAAGCAATTCCAGCGTTTCAGGTGACAAGGAATGGCAAATGAGGTGATCTGATTGCAAAGAATGACATTGAAGAAAAAAAGCCGAATGTCTATTAATGACAGGTCAGAAAAAGTCAATGAGCCAATGATTAAAAGGCTAAGAGAGACAAAATACTACAAAATAGTAAGTCTCAATTATGCAGAGAATGAAATAAAACTGTCAATCATAAATTAAATTCAGCGAAGTAGTTCAGAAGCAATACTAAAATATACGGCATATTAGGAAATATTACTGTCGGGTAATTATGCAAACTAATGATATACTCACAAACCCAAACCACAGAATTTTACCCGTAAATTCTCATCAAATTCTACTCTTGACTCATCTGGAATATCCTTGCTTGACTTTCCACTTAGAACTGAGTCTGTGATATGCATATAACTCTGTCCATGGTTTCTGCTATCATCTCTAATCTGGATCCCCACAAATTATATAGGTCTGATGCTATCCCTTTAATAGTCCTTAAGAAATGTGCTTCGGAACTGGCTCTTTTCACACTAAACTCTACAATAAATGCCTCGCTGTCTTTGGCTTTCCTGTTTGTTGGCAATGCTCTTCTGTTGCCCAGTCTTAATGGACTCAGGTGATCTCTCTAACTGTCGGCCTATTACTTCTATACATATTTTTGGCAAACTAATAGGGGCCCTGATAAACTCTGAATTAGTAAATCATCTCTCTTCACAGGGCCTTCTTTCGGACAAGTAATATGGCTTTTGCTTCTCAACAACTGATGTATTAACGATTATTACTGAAAGATTCAATCAAGATTTAGATAAGAATGATGAAGCCTGTTGCCTTGAACATCTCGAAAGCGTTCGACAGGATTTGGTGTACCTGCCTTCTTCACAAGTTGAAAGATTATGGTATTTCTGGATTAATTTTTAATTTGATTCAGTCTTTCTTGTCAAATCGCGAAATGACAGGTGTCCTAAACGGCTACTCTTCTAAATCTTTTTGTACTAATGCAGGTGTCCTCCAGGGCTCTATCTTTGAACTTATTTTGTTCTTAATTTTCAACAGTGACCTTCCTGATGGCATCAGTTCCAAACTTGGTATCTATACTGGAGACACAACCATTTACTCTTGTCTCCATATTAAATCTGATCAGTTCCATATGGTCAAATTTGCAGCTGATCTCGAAAATATAGCTTGTTTATTTTAACAACTCCAAAACGAAAATTATCTATTTACTCATCTGAGATACCCCTTTATGCCTCCCATCATCATGGCTGATGCTAACCTTCAGGAGAGTGACTCTCGGGCTAACATTCTTGGCTGACAGAAGTGGAAAGATTATATTGAATCAAGTGCTAGGTCTGCTGCTAAGGCAATTGGTTCACTGTATCGTGCTAGACAATTTTCCCTCCAGAATCTTTATATATATATTTACAAGTCTACCATTCGTCCATGCTTTGAATATTGCTGACACATATGGTCCGGTGTTCCTGCTATATATTTAAAGATTCTTGATAAAATTCAACGAAGAATCAGTAATATTAATTGTCCTGACCTGGTGTCTTGGCTTCAGTCACTTTAACGCCGCCGTAATGTAACTTCCCTGTACCTTTTATTTAAATACTATCATGGTATTTTTAAAAATGAACTCTCCGCTATGTTATCGAGCCTTTAATTTAAATTGTCTAGATGGAACCATAAGTGCTGTGTTGTTTCCTATCTTCCGGTTCCATGATTCCCAGTCATCTTTGATCTTTAAAAATGTAAACGCAATGTCAGTCGTTACATAATGTATTATTGATTACTCTTCTTCTATTGTTCCTGCTCCTTAATAATGTTTCTCTTTTTTCTTATTCTTTCACACTCAGTAACTTCTTCTGTTATAGTGGCTCTACTGCCCTTCATAAGGTGAAATGATTTAAAAAAAGTGAAAAATTGGAAGAATTTCCAATTAAATATATTAGTTACTAGTCTGGTGTGAATATTCAATATTGCCTTTATGCAGAGGAAGGTAACATAATTCGTCAATAGGTTGATTACAAGAGAACTTTTCTTTCTTATTTCAAAATCCAATGTTTCATTCAAAAGTCAATCAATCATAAAACATCCTAACAATGTGTTCTGAAATAAAAGTTTAGTCCTTCCAAAAGAAATTTCTTTGCAAGTACTTTCAAAGAAATGTAAATTAAACGTAAATAAAGCAATATGGAAGGTTAATGTGATTTAATAATGTTATAATTATTTCCATTAAAATAAAAAATATTTAGCATTGCTTATTCATTTCCTTATTATGAATAATGCATTTTTAGCGTTTTGAAAATTCTTTCCGGTATTATTAATCTGGTTTCTTTCTCCATCTCATTCCTAGATGGTTTACTGGCCCTTGGAGTGAGTGCAGCACGACTTGCGGACCAGGAACGCAGACAAGACAAGTAACCTGTCAGCGACGGATTTCGCCCGTTCTAAATCTGACAGTATCAGCAGAGGCATGCCGTGGTCAAGTTCGAAACCAAACGAACCGAACCTGCAGTCTTCAGCCATGTTTTTTCTGGAAAGTTGCCAACTGGAGTCAAGTAAGTTCGATAAACTACTGACGTTGAATACTAAAATATTGTTAAGGACAATATTTGCGTTTAAGTCGAATTTAATGTTAAAAAACATTAATAAATAGAAACCTGATGCAGATTGTGAATGAACAAATTACTTACATACTTATTTAGCTAAAATTTTATATACAAATTTCATTTCATAATATTCGATCTATGTCATTTATACTCATCACCGAATTAAATGCCTCAGCCAAGAAGAAGATTATACTGAATAGTCAAAATTTGTCGTGTAAAATATTTTTCAACATTAGCCTACAAGCATTGATCTATTTACGTACAAGAACAGTATGTGGCCGTTCATAGCATCAAATTCTTTATGTTAATAACTCCATGACTCAATAAGATGTTTCTACTGAATTAATCATGCTTGCCAAATTATATTTGATTAATAAAGTATTGTTGAGATATGATTACTTAAGAATAGCTTTTGTATGAATTTATTTCATTATTATAACTGTCACGTTGTGCAATGATTATCGTAGGTTCTGAACGCTTCCTCTTTAATACGCAAAATACCACACTAATAATAATAATTGAATAGCTTAGAATCGACAACGTATGAAATCAAAGCAGCCCCACCTTAATTTAATGCTTAACACGCAATCAAATAAGTACCAAGTTATATGACAGGTTTGAAACCAGGTGACATTGAATTAGTACTTGTTAAATCATGTCTTGCCACACTTTCATTTGCTCTGTCAGTCTCTCCAATAGGCTAAGAACCATCCTCTCACTGAGGAATTAGTAATTTCTCTTGCTATAAATCTAGGCACTATGGCAATATCTACGGAACTATTTAAATGATTATAGTCAGCAAGTTCTACAGGCAGATATACACAGATGGAATCAACATGTCTTCTTCAAACGCGATCATCCGCTATTCGAACCCGAAATGTCAATGGGCCTAATTATTTCTCTAAACTTGCAGGTATCCATTTCGGTTTTCGTAGGAAATTTACAATTCACTGAATTTCCGATACAGAACATTCTTTCACGGCGCAGTTTATTAGCCAACACTAAATTCTAAAACAAAACACGATCTGGGCTGTTAATGCATCATCAATATTCCTGGTGACTGACCCATTGCTGATTGCAGAATCAAACAATACCGAGTTATGACACAAAGTAAACAGGTTTCAGATTAAGTTGAAACTTTCTTAAAGACATTTTGATAATCTAAATTGCAAGTTCAACTAATCAGTTTGATGATGGATTATACAGACATCTTTAAGTTCTTTTAACGCGCAAAACTTGGTGAATTCATCGTTGGTAAAACCACTAATATCAGACACAATCATATGTGTGTGTCACGAATATACGACGCAATATTCACTATAATTTCTCTATAAGGGTCTCGATGTTACCTTTGAAAACCACCGTACACCTTTCAAGAATAACAATCCCTGATCCCCCACAAAACACAGCACAGTTGTGCATATATAAACTTTTTCCTTCTTTTTATTCGGTTTGAATTCGGGTCATTCGTGTATAATCTAATCGCATAGCTGTGTTAATAGTAAATATGTAAAAAATGCAGGACTTTAACATGATTAAAGTTGAGTCTAGAGATGAAAGTGGCAGTAGTGCAAATGTGTAACATTGTTCTCTAGTAGTAACCAGTTCAGCCTATCAACATTCGGAGATTTTTAACTGGTTCGTATGCAAACTGATAGTAATAATTGAGAATTGGGAAAAAGTAATGCCGAATGTTGCACTCTAGTACTTGCAGTGGGTGAGACAACACCATCTTCTTTCAGTAGTGGTCAAAAACCATATCGCGCCTTTAACGCTTAATTTCCTCGCAATTCTATTCCGCCTTAGATAATATTCAAGTGACGAAGTAGTTTGCCTCCTTTTTTTATCCTGTGTAATATGCAATAAATTGTTGCCATTGCCAATCCGAAAGTGCAACAACAGTCATGATAAATTCATAGCCATGATTTTAATGGACGAAAACTCTGATTTACATTAATAGTTAATTTCAATGGTAGTGTAAAGATATGGGGAATCTTTTCTTGACATGCATTGGGACTCTTGGTAGCAATGAAGGGGCGATTAAATACTGCAGCCTTCCAAGCTCTTGTAGCTGACCACATGCCTCAATCCACATGTCACTGTGCTGCACTCATCCACTTTAGGCTACTTCCATCAGGACAACGCACTGTGTCACAAATAAATAGTAGCAAATTGGTTTGTGGAACACAGCAATGAGTTTTCTGTGCTAAAGTGGCCTCTACAGTCACCGAATGTCAATCTCATAGAGTCTGTTTGAAGTGTAACGGAAAGGGTGAATCGAATACTTAGATGTACAGTTAACCAATCTAGAAGATCTAGGATAGCATAATGACAACGTGGGCCTAAATATCGAAAGAGAGTCGAATAAATACCAAGAATAATTGTGTTGGCTCTTATAGAAAAAGGAAATCCAACATGATATAAAAACAGTATACCAAATAAAGCGACACGTCAGTGTATGTGCGTGTGCAGGCACGCGTACAAAATACTATAGCTGTGTAACAAGTATCGGTATTTACATGGATAATGAATTATATCTCATTCTTAAACCATCAGAATAAATTAAGAGAACTGAATGGCTGGATAAACAATTTTAAAAAAGCAACTCTAATATCACCATCGTGTTAATAGGACGAAGTTAACCATTAAAATTACACATCTTCCGGTTATATTTTCTCGAAATTGCAGATAAAATCAGAAATAGCTAGTACATTCTCGAAAATTGTGGTATTGACAAAATCTTCTGCATATATTATATGGTACGCTAATAAATCTGTCTTTTACTTTAAGATTAGAATTTAATTTGTATATACTACATTTACATTTACTTGTAATCCTCAGCAAGTCTAACCATCTGTTAGTAAGAAACATCTAACCAGGTCATCTGTTAGTAAGAAAACAAAAAATATAAGACAGGAAAATAACTTTCTTTGAAAACTAAGTTGAAATAAATACGTGAAATTCAGAATTAACTAGTCATCAACTTTTAGCCCAACCCCGTAAACCTGTTTATAGAAAATCATTCCGTAAAAATTCTTGGCTTTCTATATATACAGTAAATACTGTATGCAGTTTTAATATTGAATAAATCATGAATACTCTCTGGGAAAGTTTCTATTATAATAAATTATTGACATAACAAAAGCTATATAAAATACTGACATTTACATTCTTCGGACTCTTGTCCTCCTGTGCATTGTCATGTACACGATGTACGCCACGGCCTTCTTCAAGTGATTAGAATTTCGAACTGAACACTTTATTTCGTCCACCAGGCCATGTCCTTTCAGGATGTCTCAGTTATCTCCCTTTAACTCAACTCACTAAGTTTTGTTCACCACTGCTGTCGCCAGGTATTGAACTCGCAACACTTTGGGCCAAGTCATTGGATCCAATCGACGCTTTTATCCACAAGGCCTTGAGGATCAGTGTACAAATTTTGGGGATTCATAAACTCGGTAACCATTTTTACCAGAGCTCATATTGCAATTTTGCTGTTATTAATGCTTTTCTCTAGGGCTCCGTATTACTGGTTCCCATATTGTATTCATATCTATGCTTGGCCGGCTTAGGAAATTTTTGTGGCCTAGCATATTTGCTTTAAGGAAATATAACTTTTCGTATTTTCTAGTGATGTTATTTCAACCTCATTCCACTTTTTCCTCCATATGTGGTCAGCTACGCCTGATTTTTCTAATTCTCCTCATGTTACGGCTTTACGGTGTTCTTGCAGTCTTACCTTAAGTGGGGCAGCCTGTTTCTTCTTTATATTTTTTACCACAGCTGCACGGGATGGCATACATAGTTCTTAGTCAAGTGCTCCTCTATTGTTGACTTACTCGGAAGAGGGTGTCTGTGAAGTGTAGAAAGACTTATGTAGGTCGTCCTGATGTTATATGAACCACAGATCTTTTGTATCTTTTCCGATGATCACTTTAAATAGGGTAGGAAGAGCGAAGCTGTTTTCTGAGTGCTGTTATTCTCTTGTTAACTTCTATTCCATTTTGTCAGAGCTGCTACCATGTACCCAGAGTAGTTGTTACATTGTAGTGTACTGCTTATACGGACCATTTCTTAATCATATGTCTCTGGGTCGACACATGACTTTTACTCGATGTTGTAAGCAGCTTTCTTTACACTGTATGGGTGGTGGGAGTTGAATTTGAGGTATTGTCCGGTGAATGTTGGCTTGTGGCATACGGATATCTTGAACCCATGTTCTATTCCAGATATTGGTACATTCAGGAAGGTGAATTTGTTGTCGTTTTTTGATCCAATGTGAATTGTATCAATGATCTTATTGAGTTCACATGGTCCAGTAGTAGCTGGACCTGGTCTTGGTGTGGCCAGAGTATGACGGTGTCATCTACGTATCTCAGCCATAAGGTTGGCTTTAGTGATGTTGATTCTAATGCCATTTCTTCGAAGTATTCTATATATGTTTGCCACTGTTGGTGATAATGACGAGCCCATTGCTAAGCCTTCATCCTGTCGACATATGTGTAACCCCATTCCGAAGTGTGTTGTTTTTGTACAGAAAGTTATCATCTCCATCAGATTATCTACTGGTATACTGGTCCGTTCTCCTATGGATGAGGCCAGTACGTCTAGCCCTAACCGATAGTGCCACCCCCGTGGGTACCTTGGTGAATAAACTAAATACGTCTAGGCTCACTATCTGTTGGATTGGATGTAAGCATCTTTGATTATTTCCAGTGGGGGGAATTTCAGACGCATGAAGGTGACGTTCCTACTAATGGATCAGTTATATCTGCAAGGAAGCGACTTAGGGGATGGCACAGAGCTTTGCCAGCTAACACTCGGCCAGAGCAGAATGCCCTCTTTGTGAATTTTGAGGAGACCGTATATGTGAGTTATCTTGGTGTAACGCAGCGACAACTGCCTGTATATCTTGGTGGGAAGTGGTTCTTGTTCTTGATTAGGATCTGCGAGTTTTCGTTCTGTTTTCATTGTTGGATCTTTCTTTACTCTAGCTACCATTTCTAATGAGGTCTTCCAGCTTTCCTATATATTCCGATTTCTCCATCACTGCAGTCGCATTACCTTTGTCACCTGGTAGTATTATGATGTTTTCATTCCTCTGTAGGGTTCCTATTGTCACCTTCTCCATTATCGTGATGTTTGACTTGGGAAGCTTGGCTTTCTCCAGTATCTATCTCAGTTTCCATCTTAGCTCATCCGCCCAAGACTAAGAGATGTTCAAGTCTATTTCCTCGATTCGGACAATGATGGTATCCGTCTGATGGCTGTGGCAAAATTGAGACCCTTGTTTAGTATTGACTCCTCAGAGGCACTCAGCTGGTGTTGACTGATGTTGATTACTGCTTCCACTAGGGGGAGGGGTGAACCTTGTGTATCACATTCTGATCTTTCAATCTGTTTAAATTTTGTACTTGGCGGGCTTTGACTGCATCGAATTCGTGTCTGAAGGATTTATCCAGGTCGTGTTGGGTCTCTTTCTTTATAATGTATGTGTTGTGGGAGTTAAAGTTGAAATATTGTCCGGTGAATGTTGGCTTGCGGTATACGGATGTCTTGAACCCCTGCTCTGTTCGAAATATTAATAGATCCAGGAAGATGAGTTTGTTGTCGTTTTCTCGTTCCATTGTAAACTGTATCGTGAACATGACATTAAGATGAAGACAACAGTCCGAACAATGTAAATAATTACAATACCTTATCTCAAATATAGCAAGAAAAATATAGCCATTAAAATAAATTACTGATATAGCAAGCCTAAAGAATGTCACATCTTTATATCTGCAAAACCATTTCTATTTTTATTTATGTATTAGGTAGGCACAAATATGCACAGTTCTCGAAGTTAAACTAATATTGTTCAAATCATTGCAGTTGTATTCGGAATAATAAAATCTTTACCTGACAAAGAATAAAGTTTATCAGATACGGATGGTTTCTCTCATGAAGCAACGTTGAAAAAGATTCCACGAATCAATGATGCTATCAGTTTAAGTTTACAAATTGATAAAATGTTTCAAAGATTATGTGCATTTCTAAATAAATCCTTCCACCTTAACCTAAATACTAATAATTAATTTTATATTTTACAGTGTTCTTCAACTTGTGGGAAAGGAATGCGAGTAAGAGCCGTGACGTGCATGAACATTGAAGGACATCCGGCAGAGGAGAGCATGTGTCAAGAAATAAAGCCGATTAAGGAAGAACTATGTGATATGGGATCCTGTGCTACAGGCTGGTTCTTCACCGACTGGCCACAAAAAGTGAGAAGTCTACTATAAATTGTACTTCCTTAACGCTAAACAGCATTATAAATATTTTACGTATTCTCCTTCTTTCTTTCTTTCTTTCTTTATAATTTCAGTTTTCCTTGCAAGGTTCACATTTTTTTATTCTGTGGACAGCTGGAACAGAGAAATTTATTATGTGACTTGTTTCCTTAAGATGACTATATCAGAGCTTCTAACCTAGATAATCCGATCCACTTATTGAATTCTTCATTTTTTAACTGTTGAAATGTTATTGTTTCTTAATGTAATTTAAATGAAAATGTAACTGTTGACGCGGTCTCTTTTCATCAATGAAAAAATAATTCTATAAATATGACGTCAGAAAACTTTGTCTGTTTTTGTTAAGGAACAGAACGTGTATATGCAATTGTGAAAGTACAACCTTTCATAACATTTTTTCGTTACTCATGATTGAAATTCCACGGGTAATTGTTATTGTATCTGCAAACTATTTTTATTAATTATAGTTAACAGTCAAGATCATAAAATTTTGCTCTTGGATGTTACTGCTGCTTATTTTTATGTGCCTATGTTTTTGTGTGCACAGTGTACATTTTTGTGGATTTTAGCCGTAAAGAACTCTGTTGATTTACTTCGAAGGAGCATCTTCGTTCTGATTATGAGTCATCTCTTATTTATAGGTCACCTATTTCTTTTCATATTTGGATTTCCTCTTTTTCTGCGGAAGGCTATTGGGTATTATTTGCAGGACACAATTAAGAAACATAATCTGCATTCGTTTTCTTGTTTCTCGACACAACTATTGTAGAATCATAGCAATTAACGAATGAAAAAAATTGATCATAAAGGAAGAAATTTCATATGAATCATCGCAACTGTTCCGTTGGTAATGCTTGTCAGCATAAATTAGCAATATGATAAAATAAAAATTACTTAAAATATTAAAAATATATTTTCTATTTGGTTATTCAATATTTATAAATATAACTATACGATGTATAAATAGTCGTCTCGTTTTGACAGTGTCCAGTCGAGTGTGGAGAAGGAATCATGAGACGAAATCTTCATTGTGCTGCAGACAACAATACAACTCTGCCAGATGAAAGATGCAGCAAGTTTCCACGCCCTCGTTTGGAAAATCGATGCAAAGCCGATGTTCCCTGTGGAGGAAAATGGTTCCTGGGACTTTGGTCCAAGGTGAAAACAAAATTAGTCTCATCAAAATACAAGTCTTTTATTTATTTATTTATTTATTTTTGGTAATTTTAATCTTCTTGAATCAATCCGAGTTATAGGACCAAATTCAACCGAAAACTATTACTATTACGTTATGTTCAAATATTACGTTATGTTAAAATTATACTCTCATCCATTAAATAATTGTCGAATCAAAACTTTCTTGTACATTGTTAATATTTTCTAGGCTAATAAAAATATATTTCTTCACAATAACTTAACCGGATTTATCATGATATAAAAATAAGTAATTTTAGTTATTGCTTAATCATAAAAATCATATATAAATGTTTTTAAACTTCGGTAAATTAATATTTTATTGATTCATTTGTTAAATATCATTTTCTTGTTGTTTATCTATAATTTCATCTTGAAGTGTAATGCAACGTGCGGTGAAGGTATGAAGAATCGAGATGTTGTGTGCATCAAACAGTTAAGCGGTTCTGTTCTTATGGTTGTCGACGAAAATAATTGTGCCATGGAAGAGAAGCCAGAAACTGTTCTTCCTTGCCAACGGGAACCATGCCCTCCTCAATGGTATATGATGAACTGGAGTAAGGTAAACATTTATCACACAAACTACTTGTGTAATATTTTACATAGAAATACAAATCTGGTTAGCCAGTTAAAGCTACCGGCACCAAGTCGTTGTTCTTAAGAGCATTAGCCCAAAGGTAATCTCCAATCTTTTCAAAATTGTTTAACCGATGCATGAAGGAGAGATGCGTCCTATTTCTATTGAAAGTGTCAGTTGTATACCCTTTTTTCAAGAATGTGGATGAGCTGTCATGTCCGTCGCAATATCGATCGATCAGCCTCCTAAGTGCCATCATAAAACTCTTTGAGTCTATGGCCAACAAGTTTTTGATCACCTCAACAGAATCAACCTCATTAGCGAAAAACGGTATGGATTTTCGCTTCTAGTTCCAGTGCTGATGTCCTAACTGTCATTACACACAAACTCAGTGAAACACTAGATAATACATTCCTCACGAGGGCGATCACCTTAGATATATCTTAGACAAGGTTTTCCATGGGAATTTACTGCACAAACTCTCCAGTATTAGAAACTCTGGAAGAGCTTTCACAGTTATCAAGTCCTAGATCGTAGATTTCAATACTTTCAAAACCAACCATGCATTTTCGCCTGACATGATGAATGGGTATTCTTTCAAGGAGGATCTTTTTTTTTAAGCCTATTGGTACTCAAGTTCACCCAGACTTCAAGTGGAATTCATATCTACAAAAGATGCTGGTAATGGTCGGTTCCTTATCCGCTCTAGAAAGTACCTAACTCCTACTCCTCCCCCTCCTCCTATTATCTATCTTTGCAAAAACAATATCAAACCAAAAATGATGAACTGCTGCCATATCTGGGCTGGAACTACCAAGTCCTCACTTTTCAGTCTTGATAAAGTTCAAAATCCTCTACACGACTTTGTGAATGATGAATTATTTTCTCCTTTATAACCCTTTTTCTGCAAACGAAACTTTGCAAGCTTCTCGCTAATCTATCACTATTTTCATAGCAAATGTTCTGACGATTAACATTTATTAGTTCTACAAGTTCTTTCCTATATTTTCCTCATAATCTGCACTTTATGGTTTGTTTTTCATTTAAGAAAATTGTTTCCTAATAGATTTTAGTCAGACATGATAAAATATATTTTATCATTTTTCATGGCCCTTGAAGAGAGTTTTTACATTAAATATTCCACTTGAAAGTTACATATCTATCATTTATTTTTGTGTTGGGATACTACAGTTTTCCTCTGGTTTACTGTTCGTCTCTAATTTGTTATTGTCGTACAATTGTTTCTGCATCTGTCACAGAAAGACATTCGCTAGCGTAATTAACTCGGAGAACGGAGTTCGTATTACATTTGAATCTGATTACGTTCTTTTCGGATCAATGCCATTAAGAAAGTCATGAATCCGCTCCTCCCTTTGAACTCTCCCATCACCAGATAAAATGTCTTGTCACCAGTTTACCACAATGATTAATGCAGAAAAGAAAACAAAAAGTATAAACAAGGTCCGATCATCTAACATATTCCATTCATGCATATTTTTTAATTCTAATCGCAATCTCTCTGAGAAAAGCTTACACCCGTTTGTTAAGGTGTCGAGAATCTTTTAAAAATTGATTTCATTTTTACTATTCTATTATTATAAATTAATAAACAGTGACTTATCTGATGACACTCATAAAGTATTAATGTATATCACAACAACCCTGAACCTTTATTTAAGCTACTCTTTGGTTATCAGTCATTTAGAACCATCTGCATCAATATTATTCATTCTGCAATGTTACTGCGAAAATAATAACAATTATGGTAGTTTATTGCTCTAACTTGTAAAGTTTCTGTTATACTTGTATGTTTTTTGTATTCAGCGAGTCAAATCTAGATAACAAGAAACAATAGAACAGATTACTTTATTAAACTTCTTTAAAATAAATCAAATTACTAAGTTTCCCAAATTGATTTGTTTTTGAAAACAAATAAGAAATACTTTTATAAAGTCCATAGAAAGACGTTATTGTGTTACATATATAATATCATGATACTAACTTTAAGTATATGCTTTAAAAGAGAGAAAAAAGAAATTATTCTCCCTTGTTGTTCAACCTTGTTTTCGTAACATCCACGATAAGAAAAATAAACTGAAGTGAAAAAAAAAGTTTCAGAAATAGAGAGATCAATACATTAGATGATGCATCCTCCAGACATAGGATCAATGAATTCCAAACAGATATTAGTAGCACCTGAAAACTAAAGACGACTACAGGGGAGGCAAGAAAGTTGCCGCAAGAAAGTTGCCGCAAGAAAGTTGCCGCAAGAAAGTTGCCGCAAGAAAGTTGCCGCAAGAAAAGTGCTGCTGGCAATTAACAAGGACGATAAACATTTAACAAAAAAAAAATCATCAAATCATATTACAATTCAGTTCTGGTGCTGTTCAACACATCGATCAACTCAAACATGCCCGGTTTGACATACAAAATGACTCCAACATCTGGTAGACTCCATGCCACGTCGCGTAGAAGCTGCATTTATGTGAAGGGAGGAGCTACATTTTATTAGATAACTGTCTCTGACACTTCAGTTTCTCCACTTTCTATATATTTATATGCTTCTAAAAACCTTTATCTATTCCTAAGACTTTAGCATGAAAGAGACCAGAGTCTTAGTAACTCTTAAATCGAGCTTCTTTAATTTATATTACATCGATTTATGTAAAACAATAAAAACAAATAAAAAATAATAATATTTTTTTTTTATTTTCTATTGTGATTTAAGTGTTCCAAAAGTTGCGATCTTGGCCATCGAACACGAGAAGTTAAATGTTTAGACAACCAAAGAAAACCGAATTTGGCCTGCGATATTCGAATAAAACCAAGCATCAGGGAGAGTTGTAACTTACAAAGCTGTGGAATGACGACAGCTGCACCAGGTTTGTAAAAGAATTATTATTATTAGTAGTAGTAGTAGTATTACATCATTGTGAGTGCCTAATTAAGTGTTATAAGTACACGGCACAATGATGAACGATATTCCTATAAGTACTTAATTCATATAAATTAAACACACACACACACACACACACACACACACATATATATATATATATATATATATATATATATATATATATATATATATATATAACTCCATGCATCTGTTTTGAAAGGATATGTGCGTATAAATGTATATATACAAAAACCACTAATCTGTAGTTGTTTTGCAGCCGAACTAGGATTTTCTGTTGACCTTTTCCCCAAAATTTCTTTTCAAAGCCATTTTTTTTTTTTTACAATTAATATTAATATTATTCCAATCATTAATATTGTTGATGATCATATTTGATATTGCATTTTAATGTCACAGGGAAACAGAAAATTGCATATATTATCTAGATGCATCATTATTATTTTTCATTGCTTGCTACTTTGAAAAGATCATGCATACATACTAGAGTTTGTCAATGAGATATATCCATTGAACTTTTATTGATTTATTGAATATATACATAGATACATAGATTATAAATCTTGTTGAAATTTCTAGAAAACCAAATCTTTGGAATTATTTTATGATGTCATTTCTAATATTAAATGAAAATTAAATTTTAGTCAGGTATGGGAGACAAAAAAAAATAAAAAGATATGAGAAAAATTGAGAATATCTTGTGCATTACTCTCTTTTTTAAGTGACTACAAAGACTAATTATCTGAAAGCGACTTTCTTAATATGTTATCTTTTGTAATTTTGCTTTTAAATGTCAGGGCTTTTCATACATAAATTTAACAAAATAATTGATATTTGGCTTATTTTTCGGTAATTCACATTTGTGTTAGCGGACGGAATTCTATATTTTTGTTAACTATATTCAGAATTCCTTCTGAAGATATCAGGTAGTACATTATATGTTCCTTGGTGATTAACATGAAAGTTGATTTATTCAAACCCAAGCACTACAATCTCAACCTCTTCGTCTACGGCCAACCATTATTTATCCTACATACTCTCCTGATCTCCACTTATTTTCTCAGCTAATGCTCATGCAACAACCTCATTCAGTAACCTTCAAATTTGAGTGGCTCTTGGACTTTGTATTATTGAATTTGCCATATTCTATGTGAAATGTTAGTTTAGTTAAATACAACGCACAACGTGGGTTCAGGAAACTCATTATACCTCCCTAAAATAATGCCTCAATATTGCAATCTTCGACGAGAGTTTAGTTTAAATCGTACATTTAACCATATTTTGTATAATGCCTAATAAATACATTATTTCATCAGCTGTGTTTTCAATCAATAAAGAAAATCCGTTTTAATATTTGGATAATATTTTTTAAATTTTATTCACTACAATCTTCCATTATTCAACTTATTTAACATTTTATTTTAATATTTAAATGGCGCACTTATTATCTGTAGTTTTAACTTTTATTGTATCCTTGACATTTACTGTATTTAGCTCAGTTTGGAACAAGGAGGTTTGGAAGTACCCAATGAGGATTAAAATCACTACAATCGTCAGCTAGTCTAGTTTGCTAATTTTTTTTTACTTTTCAATGTCACATACATGCCTTTCTACAAATATTTGCTTTAAAAACACACTTTGTAAAATATCAAAAAATTAGACATAGCTCTATAACCACATGTAGATCTTTCCTTCATCTGAATAACGGGGATTCTAAGGCGTGCTACGGACTTAACGAGATGCTGGAGTCATTCCGTAGCGATATCTATCCAGCATATTCCCGAGCTCTACTGCTAGGTGTTATTGTAAAAAAATGTTATGTGGTCTGTAAAGTGTTCTTTGTACTATTTTCGTGTCATCAACGCACAATGTGCGTTGATGGCACGAAAATAGTTAAAACAGACGCCAATTTCACCAGTGGACATTGCGCATTGCAATGGAACACGCTCAACGCCATTAACGAGCCTAGACACGCACTGACACGTTGAATCCATAGCCTCATGCCGTATCCTCCACGCACGAACTTTACTGTCTACCTTAAAAATCTGGAAATATGACTCGTCTGGCTAAACAACATAGGACAACTTCGACGATTCAGTGGTATTCTCTGGTATATTTGAGGCGCAGTAACCGGTCCCATGCTGTCAATAACTGTACACTTGTTGATCAACGAATACTAAACCCCATGGAATTCAGTTGTACGCTGTTCAGTGGGTTAACTAATGGGCTGAGTGGTACCACTTCGTTAGTTGGTTACCATCATTTTCAGTCACTGGAGGTCACCTTCTTTGATCACCTGTGGGCACCTGCAGTTTTTAAGCGCTGCTGCTGAAGCCTAAAGCATTTGCCAGTTCAGATATAGTTTTCCAAAACTAATTCCATGGCTAGTGTTATCTCTTGTTTGCAGCTCATATTTGCCACTGCTATAAAAACCTCTAGCTATTACGTCGCATATAGATCATTCGTTTGAATCTATTCCTACAAGTGAAGATGGGCAAAAACATACAATGTACTGCCGCCTGTAATTTTTTAAAGCTTCAAGCTTTATGACACAACGTATGGGTTGCGATGACACATCATTGTTTGCAACAGAATAGTCACTAGATAACCATAAAAGAAAGTAACTCGTGAGCATCAGACTGTGAAAATACAATAAATGACGTATTGAAGGGAATGCAAAAACTGTATTTATTTTTTGTTTGTTTGTTTGTTTTCATTATAATCAATTTTCCTCTTTCATTTTCAGTAAGTGGATGCAGTGATCTTCTCGGACAGTGCCATCTTGTGGTAAGAGCCCGCCTTTGCAGTTACCACTATTACCATCGCATTTGTTGCGCTTCTTGCACGGTCGCAAATGAACGTGAAGAAGGAAACAATGGTGCTTCACTGGCAACCACGGCAGCAACTGTTACTCCGGCTTACAGTACCACACCATCTTATCCCACCACAAGTTACGTATCTCCTACGGAAACTACGCTGTTTGCCAATTTCACAAACATGACACTCGCTGAAGAACATACGGTAACTACTCCTAACACCGAGTCAACAGATTCCCAGTCATGACGAAACTTTGCCGGTGGATAACAATTGTAACAGCTCAAAATAATATGTACGCACTTCCGGCGACTTAGGTTTTATTCATGGTGTTTTTCTTAACATGTTAGCTGCTGTTGTCGCATTTTTGTTTTATCTGAACATATTTTCTCTGCTTTCATTTGATTGATTTTATAAATAAGATGTCATGACAGAGAAATGACATTATTCATTCTAAGTGAACAAAGACAAAATCGAACATTTTACCACTCATTAAGACGTGCCTTTTAAATCTTTTACATCAAATACGATTATAGAAAGAAGTCTTTCGTTCAAATAGATTCTTTATGCAATTACAATATATTTCATTTAAACTCTTATATGTCGGCTACACTTGGCCGTTACATAACCAGCCTTAATATCAAAACAAAGGTTCTCGTAATTTGTCTTTGTCAGTCCGTCAACAACAACAACAAAACACAAAACACTTCTGATTTTCAAATGTCTTTTGGTATAGACTTTAAATATTTTACAGCATGGAGCTTTTGGTAAAATCTTCCAAATTATTTCCTTACTCACCTCATGCCTCTTGCGGTAAAATGTCACAGCTGTAAAATCAATGATGTTTGCAAAATCAAATTATATTATTTCCATTTTGGATGACTTGACTACAGCATTAGAACCTACTGACCTTTATTTATCAAATCGATAAGTTACTTGAGAAAGGTCACCTAGAATTTGTGCAAGACTTGTAGATGATTGTACAGTCATGTTTTTCAAACGTTTTTGCCCTCCCAATGTATCGTCGTTCTCTTCTATTTATTTCTAATCCCTTTTCTTACTTTCTCTACTCGCTGTATTCTGTCTCTTTATTTGATTGTACTTCTCAAATTGTTACTACTTTGTGGATAATTGCATAGTGAAATTCAAAGTGATGTTTCAGTGCAGATAAACAGACCAGAATTCTAAAATCTGTTGCTTAACAGAACAAAAGAAAACAAATGTTTTATATTTAAAATTTCTGTAAGTTAATCTTAATCTCTGCCAAAAGGATATTAATTATGATAATGCCTACCTTAAACCTTAGTCAGGAAGCAAAGAAATATATCTTTTTTTCTTTTGTGGTTATGTCTTTATGAATTTACAGTTAGATATTTTGTAAATATTCTTACTTTAAGTGACTGAAAAACAACAAAAATATTAGGTTCTCTCGATCTTAGCCGCAGACAGTAGGGTGTACCCATGACTTAGTAGTTCTTAATACAGAGGTGCTTTGTTCGGCAGGGGTTCCAGGCCGCCAGCTAACTAATTCATTCAGAATTTCTTCTATTCCTATAGACAGCTGTTATTCCCAGATCAATAGTAAACTTGGAGTGTTTCATTAATTCCTGCTATTAAATAGCAATACAGTTTTAAGTTTTTTTTTCTTTTTTTCCTTTTTAATATTTCCCTTTACTTCTTTGATTAAAAAATGATTACATAAAATTTTTCATATTTTTAAAATGCGAGTTTTATGGAAATGAATTAGTTTCTCTTTTGATTTTAAAATGCTTTTCATTTTGAATAAATTCCGAGAATTGATACAACTGCAACTCACCCGCAGACTATATGAGACATGCAGAGAGCGCCATCTCTTTCGAGATTAAAGTATTAAAATGTTTTGGATGTATCAAAAATGCACAAGTGAATCAAAAGTAATTTATAAAAATATCTTTGTTCCACAAACATCTGAAATCAACAAAAGCAACAGCTATATTGCAGGTATGTAATTACATCGTACCAAGTAAACAAATGCCAAATCTTAATTGTATAACATTTACTAAGAGAGGCTGATTACAGAAGAGTGGCAACTGTCAATTGTGCATTCCAAGTTCATTAAATGAATAGATTCAGTTGTAATTGTATACATGCTCATGTTCTTATGGTCAATAAATTCAACCATTTTGTTACTTCCCAGCATGCTACAGAAATTACCCAGATTTTGGCTATCAGCGGAAGGCAAGAAAATCAAATTTCGATTGGAAAACTCCAAGTTGATCAATGCGTTGCCTATTGTATACAGTATCATTACATTAATATGTTCGCGCGCACACACACACATACATATATATATGGAAGTGTTTTATATATAGCATGTTTACATGTTTGTGCTTATAGTTACATGAACTGCTTCTTAAATTTTCCAACATCATTGTTTGTTTCAAATCTATTCTTCTATATAAGTACATATCCACTGTTCAATGTATAGAGGAAAGAAATCAAACAAGTTTGCTTAGAATAATTATTGAACAGTTTTGATACTCATGCAAGTATTCTGTTTTCGGAATACAAGCTCAAAAGATATGCCAAAATAATGGCCCGCTTGTATCTATGTACATATTTTTATCATCATTCTGTAACTTTTCGTACATATTCATGAGATGTCTTATGACTTTTTATTCATTTACTTTAAAAAATTGACAAGTTAATTCACTGATTTCTTACTAATTAGTGGTAGGCAGTGAATGAAATATATTGAGCGAGACTTTATTATTATTCAGGCTTAAAATGGAATAATATTGTATTAGCCAATTGTTATATGTGGTTTTCTTATTTGTGATATGACACTCGCTTCTTTAAACAGTCATATCGAAATCCATCAGTGCGAAAAGATTATATGTTACCATAAAAACTAATTCACTTGATAATCGGAGAATTGCTGGATAAAATCTTGTGAACATCGGAGAATCAACTCAGCAAATATGCATTTTTTCAGTGAGCTAATGTAAAAATATCTAATATATAAAAGTTTATGACTTATATAAATAATACAAAAAAGATTATATATATTCTACGTTGATATATTGTATTTACTAGAATATTCAAATGTTACAAGTGAGCGTGCAAATATTTACAAATGTTAACATATATTAAGGGCCAATTAATGTCTTTTTTCCCAAATCTGCATATATTTTGTAGAATGTGCATGAATTATGACACTTCCCGTTTGTTTATCTAACTACATGCGTGGGTGCATGCTTTTTATTACAACAAATTGAGAAAGAGGGGAACATTTCAAACCCAAATAAATAGATGAAATCTTACGGTGATTCATTTGGTACTGATTGACATGTGAAGTTCGTTCTACTGAAAAGGGAAATCATTTATTGTTAACCGCCCTGATATTTGAACGCAACTGTCAAGTGAAACAAACTGAATTGGGAAAAATGACTCTTATGTTCAACCGAGATAAAATATATATATTCACTTTTGTATTTGCGAATTTGGTTTTAAAAGATTTGAATGCAAAATTTATTTACCTTGTGATCATTGTCAGTGGTTCAGCATCTAAGGCTGTTAATTTTATGAGTTGATTTGAGATATTTACACAAATCAAAGAGAATCATATTCTTTAATTCATTAACTCAAAGACCTGAATTATACTCGAGTGTAAAAATGCGATTTTTTTTCCAGAAAAAGAAAATCTACGCTGCTAATATGCTGACGAAACAGATTATTTTTGCCACTTACGATCCGGCAGATGATGGAGTTTTCAGTGTCTTTAATGTAGATATTTACTATGATCATCTTAATCTGATACTATAAAACAATTCTTTTTCTCGAGTCCCGTTCTGAGACCGCTGCTTGAGAGTTGCACTGTCAGTCGATCTTCTCGACTCACATTGTGCTTAACGTTTTGACTTGTGGAAGTCAAATGCGAAGCTGCTTGAAACACCGTCAGTAGCGAAAAAGGTGAGTTAAAAGAAAATTAAAGAAGAAAGTGTCTTTTACCGACTTTTGCTTGTAGAAACAATAACGTAGAGTTTATTTGTTGAGTATTACAATGATCATTTTAATCCTTCCCAATCCTGAAATGCTGTGATCTACTTAACTACGACAGGCCTGTGAGTTAGAAAGTATCGGCTTTATTGACAACACATTGCAAAGACAATAGCAATGCTCTGGACTAGTCACTGGAAGTTGGTTCAACAATTTAATGAGGAAATTTTGCAGACAAAATTTGTTTCCAAAACCTTGTATCCAAATCTTCCACTCTGCATGCGAAAACTTCTTAGGTTGGGGAAAATTTCTTCAATTGATAAAATTATTCTGGTCAATTTCTTGCAAGGGATGATGGCGTATATAGCGAAAGGGGTGGTGATTTTGTTGCTACATTTTGTCTGTGTTTACATCATCTCTTTACCTGTATGGTTGTCCACTACTACTGGAGAAATCCCTGCATTTGTGGGAAATTCATTTCTTTCAGGTTTAAGGTTAAAATTCAATTTGAATATTTGAAGAGTAACAGAATCAAGAGAAGTGGTTTGGTGACGTCACTTTCTTGTTAAATACAGCGAGGATCAGCCTATTTCTTGAATCCAGTAGACACCAATTTAGAATGGTGGATAGTATCAATAACGACATTTTAGTACTGAATTTTGAGCAAGATCGAACCTAGAATGGGCAAGCTGGTTTATCTCAATTGTCATTTTTCTAGAGGGGGTGGGTAAGGGGTGGCTTTTTACTTGGCCCTAATAGTTAAAACCTGGTTAAATCATGATTTAATACCCAGAACATTCCATGTTCTAACTGAATTTATTGTAATTAAATGATTTTCGTTTCTCCAACAGCCTACGAGAAAAGCAGACCCCATGGTAATTCTGGAATGTTAATAAAATCCAAAATAATTCATATCAGTTTGTCAAATTAATTCCCATTTCAACCACCACGAAGTAGAGATTCACAACTGGTACAAGTTACAGGTACAAGTAAAAATAATGGAAGCGCTCAGTGTGAAACGAACTTACTAAAATTATAAGACATGTTTGCTATCATTCTACGGTAGGTGACCATCTATAATAGGAGCTTTTATATATATTTTATACGTATACAATGGGCTCTCATTAGTATATAGCATTTTACTAACATTTTAATACTGTATTTTTGGAATTAATCCATATATTTTAGGCATTGACTTCATTCTAATTGAGCAAAGAGCATTTTTAATATAACAATGAAATATTTTTGTAAATAAATCTATTCCAGATTGA